AAATAAACTTAAAAAAAAAACTCCCCTTGGGGTGTCTGGGTGGCTCAGTCAGTCAAGCATCTGACTTCAGCTCAGGTCATGATCTCACGGTTCATGAGTTTGAGCCCTACATCAGGCTCTGTACTGACAGCTCAGAGCCCGGAGCCTGCTTTGGATTCTGTGTCTCCCTCTCTCTGCCCCACCCCCGCTCACCTCTGTCTCTCTCTCTCTCAGAAATAAATAAACATTAAAAACAAAATCCCCTTCATGCTTATTTTGAGTTTTTGAGGAGACTAAAGTAGGTGACAAGAATCACAATACTTGCTTCTCATGAGCCATAATTCGTAAGGTTTTACATCACTGATCAGCCACAAGAGTAGAAATTTTGCTTTCATATTTATTACAACAAATTTGGCACTGGCATCACACTTAGATTTTTTAACTTATTTTAAAAGCAGTGCCTTTGATTCAGTAGAGTTGTATTTTATCTGGCAGTTTTTCAGTAATGTATGGTTTTAGTTCAAAAACCGTTTTTAGGAGCTTTTACCGTGAACAGAGCACTTTGACAGGCATTGGGAGGCCTACAGAAAGGTTTATGATTGGTTCCTGACCCCCAAGGATCTCATGATGGAGACACCAAGAGATAAATACCTGGAAACCAAGCATGATGTGCAGGTGCTCATAGAGGAGTCTGAACGAAGTACTATGGAAAAGAAAGGAAGAACTTAAATCTGATGAGGGAAAGGATTGGGGAGGAGCTTATGTTTTAGCTGGGCCTCGGAGGGTGAGTAGAGTGTCAATAGTTGTGGAGAGATAATTCACATAATGGCAAATGTCCCTAGGGTTTAGAGTTCACAGTGGTTGGGATGCAGTAAGGATGAAACCAGAAGATAAGTGAAAATTGTGGAGGGTCTTAACCGCCAGGCTATGGAGTTTGACCTTTATTCTCTGGGCAGTGGGAAGCCACTAAAAGTTCTTTGGGAAGACAGTGATGTCCAGTCTGAATTTTAGAAAGACTGCTCCAGTGGCAGTGTGGATGATAGATGGAAGAGGTTAGGCTAGAGGCCAGGAGACTTGTTGTAAGGACTTTACAATAGTGTTATAAAGAGGTAATGAATTCTATGGCAAGGCTTGTTGGCTGGCCAAACCAACTGCCATTGCCAAGTCCCTTCTCCATTGCCTGAGACCACAATGGATGCTAGAAAAGCTACATCATCTCTGCCTCCTTTTTTCTCTCCCTCCCTTCACCTAATAGATACTAACTGATTGCTGTTTACCAGGCACTGGGGATACTGCAGGGAACAAGACAAAGTTCCTACTCTCACAGTGCTCACAATCTGGTGGGGAGAGATAGACAATAAACTGAGAAATAGATACATAGTAAGTCGGGTGGTGATGCATTATGAAGAAGAAAACCAAAGCATGGTAAGAAGATAGAGCAATGGAAAGGGAGAGATGCTGCTATTTTAGCTAGGAAGTCAGGGACGGCCTTTCTGATAAAGTGACACTTGAGAAAGACCTGAATGAAATGATGTGTAAGCCTCAAACCTATCTTGGAGAATAATGTTCCAAGCAGATGGAACAGTGTGTGCAAAGCCCAGAGGAGGGAATCTCTTAAAATACTTAAAGAAGAGCAAGAAGGCCAAAGAGACTGATGTGAACTAGGGAGGAAGTATTGGTGGATGAATCAGAGAAGTTGCCTGAATTTGATCATATTAGGCTTTTATCGATCAAAGTCGGGACTTGGAATTTCATCATGAGTAAAGATTGGAAGTCATTGGAGGGTTTTGAGAAGAACAGTGACATGATGTGACTTGCCATTTTAAAGGATGCTGTATGGAAAACAGATGGTGTAGAAGTGGAATGGAAGCAGAGAGACAGTTAGGAGGTTATGACAGTAGTCCAGGTGATGTGGATGGTGGTGTGGGCCAAGGCATGGTGGTGTGAGAAGTGATAGGGTTCTAGACATCTTTTGAAAGAAAAGCTGTAGTTAGCCTTGATTTGCTGATAGATTGTTGGGAGGAGTAGAAATAGAGAGGGATGAATTTGCCATTGGTTGTATGGGAGAGGACTAGAAGAGAAGAAATTTGTAGGGGATGATCATGAGTTTGGATGTGGGCATGTTAAGTTTGAGATGTCACTTAGACATTCAAGTGGAAGTGTTCAGAACTCAGCTAACTGTAGAAGTCTGGGGTTCAGAGGAGAGGTCCAGAGTAGAAATATAAATGAGGAGTTGTCAGTATTTAGTTAAGCTGTGACACTGGATGGGGTCACCTGGGAGAGTATAGATAGAAAAGAGACCCACCACCTGACCCCTGGAACACTACAATGATTAGAGGTCCAGGTGATGAAGGGGAATCAGCACAGGAGACCAAAAAGCATCAGGAAAAAAGCCCTGGGGAGGACAAAGCAAGAATAGAATCCAGGAAGCCAAGAGAAGGGAGTAGTTTGAAGGGGAAAGAAGGATTGTCTGTGTCAAATACACAAAGTTTGTGCTGGAGTCGTGCAACAAGTCTCTGTTTTCCCTCCAGGAGCTCTTTGTACTTCAGAGGTACAGAGAAACAGAGGGTTGGATTTCAGCCTGGGTAGGAAAGAAGGTTGAGGGGATGTGGATGAGTTATCTATTGCTCCACAATAAGCTACTCCACAGCTTAGCAGCTTAAAATAGCAGCCTTTTACTTAGCTCCTGATTTTTGGTGGGTCAGAAGTTTGGGCTCAGCTCAGGGTGGTGGTTCTGGGCTAAGATGGGCTTGGCTAATCTCAGCTGGGCTCACTCATGTGTCTGTAGTCAGGTGGTAGGTTGGCCAGGCTGGCTTGTTGGTGATAACCTTGTCTGGGGTGGCCAGGTAACTGGGGCTACATGGTCTCTCATCCTCCAGCAGGCCAGCTCTGGATTTCTCGCAGGTTGTCTCACAGGGTGTTCCATGTACCGCAAGAAAACAAGCCCCCAGGGGCAACACTTCTCAAATCTTTGCTTGTGTCAAGTTCACTACTGTCCTGTTGGCCAAAATAAGACACATGGTCTAGTCCAGAGTCAGTGTGGGAGGAGGCTACCAAAGCTTGGTTACAGGGAGGTGAGAATAAATTGGGATCAGAACTGCAAGAGTCTGCCTCAGCATGAAGAGTTGAAACATATGAAGCAATAGATTATTTATCTGAGTTGACTGGCAAGTAGGATTACTTGCAGTAATTATTCTCATTATGATCTTTGCCAAATACAATACAGGCATGTTAAAAACATATTTATCACCTATTAGAGGACACTGAAAAGAGGTAAATAGAATTACTAAAATGAGAATATTAACATAGCACTGCTGGGAAGAATAAAAATTATTTTCTACCCATTCTAGTTGAATGATTTAAATTATGTAAGGATTTCTTTAAAAATGGTCTTTTTTTTTTTTTTTTTTTTTTTTTTTTTTTTTTTTTTTTTTAGAACAAGCATTTCTTCTTGAATTAGCAAGGCATCTACTTTTGGTAAACAAACTCAATTACTTACCCCCAGAATTTTATTAGGAAATATGGGCTTATGAAACAAATATAGATAAAGAAAACAGTGTCTATGCAGCTGAATGATTTCTACATTTGCTTCATAATGTTACCATAAAAACAGAAATTTACTAAGGGCTGTATCATTGCCAAAGCTATGCGAGAAACCTCACCTCTGTTCCAGTTCAGCTGACCACGGGAGTCCAATTCATTTGGGAAGATATTAAGATGCTGAAACCAAAACCAAACCCACGTTGCATTTATTTTTCTGGCGTTTCCGTCTTGCCACATCAGTCTCCTCATTCCTGCTGGTTGTGGCCTGCATAACCTCTCAGAATGGGTCTGTTAGGTGATCCGAAAAGTTTTGCAAGTGAAAAATAGGAGAAACCAGTGATTTGATGGTCATTAAGGTATCTCAGTTTTTAAAAATGGTTTTCAAACTGAAATCTGAGGATTCAGCCACTCGCAGATAATCAGATAGGTGTTGCAGGTCCTTTTCCTCTCACTAAGGCTCCTGGGGATGCTCTTTCGTTGGCCTGTGACTGGGACTAATGGGCAAAGATAGAGAATCAACCTCATAGGGACAGCCATGGGCAATGGGTACTTTAATTCAGTGATTGGCCACAATTGTTCAGCAATTGATTAATCCCCACCTCCATGACTCTTCATCCGGACTCCATGTACACCCATATCCCCAGAAGGGGGGGAGGGGAACTGTTGAGTTCAGTAGCCTAAAACTATGGCCTCACAAGGGGCACTTTCTTGCTCTCAGAAACAGTTTTGTTACTGTCATGTGAGTGGACACATACACAAATCTCACCTTATGTTTTTGACCAGAAGTTTGGGTTGATGGCTCCATGTAAACATAAGTTCATAAGTGGATGAAAGAGTAAAGCAGAGTTGGAGTTTCTCCCCAGAAATGTGTTCATTCATACCTTTCCCTGGAGTTGAGAGGAACAGCCAGAAAATTGTTTCAGGATCAAATGAAGGAAAGACTATGCAAATGATACAAACACTGTTAAGTATATCATGAACGTGAAAATGGGTTATAAGAAGCCTTTCCCCTTTCTTCCTTTCTGGACCTCAATGAAAGCCTTGTTGTCCTAACAAAGCCAGTTGGAAAAGTAGGTGCCATTAACTGTGAGGTTCTGAAAACCATCCAAGGGCTTATGTCTTCTCTTTGTATGTATATTTGTATAGGCAGCACTCTGTGCTCAAATAGATGTTGGGTAAATTATATACACTTAATAAATTATCGGGGGCACCTGGCTGGCTCAGTCAGTGGAGCATGTGACTCTTGATCTCAGGGATGTGGGTCTGAACCCCATGTTGGGGGTTAGAAATTACTTTAAAAAGTAAAATCTTTAAAAAAAATTAATGCCTTATCTATATTTTCTCAAGCTGCATTCTTTGTATTTCTATCTTATGGTGAAGGAGATTTGGGGCCAAATAAACTGGGAAATGGTGGATTAAACAAAAGGAGATGATAGGACCGTTTATGATAGGACTGATGGGGCCTTTGATATGTTAATGTGCATTAGGAGCACCCAAAGAAGGAATATAATAGACAACATTTCCTAAACTTACAGTTGTCTGTGGAACTTTGGCAAGGAATGTCTCATTTGGTTCTGTTGTTCTGTGGAACCCTCTGGGCAGATTTTGCATTATCCCATGGATGTGAGTGGGCACTGTCATTGGTCACGGTTTTAGGGTGCTGAAGTGTACTAAAGAGTACAGGACCGAGAATTCTCCATTCCCATAGGATGAAAAGGGAAAAGGGAGGGGAAGGAAAAAGAACATCTACAAAGATACATAGCTTCCACTTAAAAAGCTGCTTACTTACTGGTCAAGTACTACGTGTTATTCCAGCCAATTTTCCATTGTAGGGGCCTTTAGGTTCCGAATGTGGACAATTGACAGAGAAGAATAAGAAGTTTGACGAGGCCTCTGGATATCTGCCTCCTGATTGTCTCCACAGAAGGGAAGGCAGTTGGACTTTATGATGATCTGAGACCTGAGGGAGCACGAACCTCAGCAGGGGCTCTAAGAGTCCGTTTCCCACAGAGTTTCAGAAGATCAGAATCACCCCCCACCTAAGGGAAGGGGAGAAGGCCCTGTGGCTTGCCCTATGTAATGCCTGCCTCATCTGAGGACATTGTAGGACTCTGTAGGCGCTCTGGTGTGGAGGAGAGCCCCTACCTGCAGGGGGAGCGCTGGTTTCCAGGACTGATTTGCCACTCGCCTTCACATTCCTCACTTGCTAAACAAGGGTGACAGTCACCAAACCAGTGGATTGTCGCAATGATCCACTAACAGTTTTGAAAGCATTCTGCATAGTCTTTGGCACCTACTTGGTGCTTGTGATGGGGAGCCCTTGGACAGCATGGGTGGTGTCCTAGTATCTCTGTATACCAGTGTACCTGGCATAATGCCCAGCACAAAGCTGGTGCACATGACATATTTCCTGAAGAAATCAATAGCTGAAATTGGTAGTTTCAAGTGTAAGTGGTTACCAGTTAGCACAGTGAAAGAATGTGCGTGTGTGCACACGTGCGGATATGTGTAAGACAGAATAACTCAGTGGTGGAGTGACTTAAGCTTTAGTGGTCAAAGTATATCTGTAAAGGGAATAGGCAAAGAGAACCGTGTCTAATGCACGTCCCTGTAGATGTCACGTGAATCAAATGCTCTGCAACACTATCCAAAGTGCCGTGTTTTAAAAAGAGGTCATGCTTACAAACGCCATCACCGCCATTTCCATAGTCACTAGGGGTTAATGGAACAGAGATGGGACCTGAGGGCCGCGCTCACTGAACTTCTCTTTGGAGCTAAGCCTCCACGTAACAATGCACTCCACAGCGACCAGCTGCTTAACCCACGCTGTAGTGTGGGGCTTGCTGTGTTTTCTTTTCCTGTATCATTTCTTCTTTGTGGATAAAACCAGAACGAAAGGCGACAGACATAAACTGTACAAATAAAATAACCTTGAGAGGAGGCTGCTGGAGTCGAAACTTACCATCTCCCTGTTGCTATGGTTACTTCCAGCAGGTCGCCCAGTGAGAATGGCTCTGTCATCAGCAAGGAATCAGGGAAGCCCAGCTCAGGGAGGCGCTCGCCCCAGAATGTAATGGCACAGCAGAAAGTGACAAAGGAGGAGGCACGGAAGAGAAATGGTGAGAAGCCCTCCTTGCCATCACCACCCCTGGGCCCGTCCCACACACACTTGCACACACGTGTGCGCCCACGTTCACACAGACCCATGTGCTATAACCCTACCTTCTTCTCTCTGGTGTGCCCCAGAAGGGTCAGGAGTCTGCTAACTACCTCCTGGGGTATCGCCTCTCCCCTTTTCTGCATTATTGTGTCTCATGCCCTCTGCTCCCTGTTCTTATGGAATTGAGCAGTGCCTTAGAAAAGCCCTGTGCAGCATGAGCTGGTGTTTGCCTGGAATGTTTCTAATTCTTGGCTGAATTAACAGGATTCCTAGCCACGGGTCCACTTGGGCAGCAGATCTCTGACTTACTGCTGGTCGTGGAGATTCCTCTCATTTTCTTGCCCTCACTCCCTTGATAAGTCTTAGGGGTTCAGTCTCTGCCAGTGAATCCAGATGCCACCAATCCACCTCTCCTAGGAGAAACAGCACAGTAATAAATCCGTCATCATAAAACTCAGCCTGTGCTTCTGCCTTTATTCTCCAGGGAAACGTATCTGTTTGGTTTCTCTCTCACACAGATCTTTTCCCTCCCTATAAAGGATGTGCATTGGAGTTTATTTCAAAGTCATCAGAACACAGCCTTACTGTGTTGCTGCACTATCTATACGTTGTGTCTGTTGGACATCCTTGTGTGTCCCCTCCTCCTGGCCCCATCTTTGTCCTGGCCATCGTCTCCATGCACCCCTTCCATGTTTGATGCTGGCTGACTGGAGCCCAGGTTCAACTACCTGGTGCTGCCACTCATATTAGAAGAAATTCCTTTCAGGTCTCAGTGGGTTGTTAGGTGGCATCCTACAGAAATGCCACATGAAAAGCCAAACAATCTGGCACTGGGGTTAGGCGTGCTTCCCTTTTAAAGGAATTTGATGGAGTGTGGTTCAGGGACACTCTCTTGGAGGTAGCTCCAGAATATTCCTTTGTTTCTTTTTTCTGGCCTAAAAAAGAAAAACAAGGAATAATGTTGCACAATAGATTTGTCTTCGGCAGGGAAAATGTGGTCTCCTTTCCCATTTCCAGCCATTATATAAAGCACTGGTTTAAATTGTCATACTGATTTGATTCTTGAATTTCTTCTTCTCCTGAATTCCCCATGGCCTGTAACACAGAGGCTGTGCTTTCTACACCAGAATCAGGGTCTGGCACGTGGGGTTTTCCTGGAATATCTACCCTACGTGAGACCACCAGAAATCCTACCTATCACCTCTCTGCCAAGCCAGCTCACAGAAGGCTTCCCAGAAATATATAAAGTCAAGTCAAAGTCTGTCCTCCCACACATGTCCCATCACCCACCCGGGTCCTCAGATGACCTTGAGTAACTCAGCATGTGTCTTTCTCAGACCTTCTTACTATGCATGTGACAACACACACAATGTTTTTTGTTGTATTGCTTTGTTAATAAAGTGAATCAATGTACATACTGTTCTGTGCCCTTTTGCTTGCTTAAAAATGTACAACGTACAGACTCCTCTGTCAGTAAATCACATTTATAAGATGACGCCCTTCCCTCTCCCTTGCATTTAATCCACAGGGGAGGAGGGAGCAGAGCCTGTTTCAGACCCCATCACTCCCCACCCTGGCTGGGGAGATACTGACCTGCCCCAAATGTTCCTGCTGACCTTCCGTTCTTGTTTTTCCACCACTCTACCTGCCTCCTTATTGTTTAGGTCACTTTGATTATTTAAATATCAGTCTCAGAAATAACAAGAGCAGCCTGCATGAATGAAATCCAATTACTGTGCTATGTTGAGGTTTTAATACGTTTGTTCTATCAAAAAGCCATCCTTTCTCCAGGTTTATGGTACTTCATTGCATTTTATTTTTGTCGGAAAGAAACAGAAAGTGAGTTTTCAGGGTTGGCCGCTTCTCTTGTGCCTCAGGTTCCCATTCAGTGAGGTTCAGCTTGAAATTTTCACACAGAAATGATGGGACAGATTTGTTTAAGGTAAAATCCAGCAAATGCTGAAGCCCATCAGAATTCTGGGGTGGACCTTCCATAGAACCTGTCCTTTTCTTCATCACAGGGCTCCACATTCTCATATATCCGTGAGGTTAGAGCTCACCAAAATATCAGTAGTGTGTTTTTTTGGAATGGAAGACAAGCCGAAGGGAGGGAGGAAGGAAGGAAGAAGGAGGGAAGGAAGGAAGGAATTCCTGATTTATGGAAGCTAAAACCAACAGTGAAAATAAGATACAACTAGATTGGGGACAGTGACATTTATGATGATGCTGATGTGATGGTGTCTAGGGCACTTCTACAGTTTAGCTGTGGCCCTTTCCTTCAGCATTCTCCCACATTTTTTCCTTTAGGGACTAATTATGCATCAAATATTCCCACGAACCTGCTGTACTCCCACACTTTAATAAATGAATATTTAACATATTCTCTTTTTACATCAGTCTTTTGGCAGGGAGCAGGATAACTAATTATTTTTCTCATAAACCTGGAGGGGTTATTGTACACATTCCAAATCTTATTTGAGAATAAGGATGGGCAAGAACTGTAGTTTGTCCAACTTCCAGGATATCCTTTCCCCATCCCATTATAGTTATGCTCTCTCCTTACCCTGTCCACATGGGAAGTGAGGGTGTCACAACCCAGAATCAGTAAAACTGCTGTGTGCTGTGTCTTCACCCTCTGCATGGTTTAGTGATCACAGAACTTGAACTTCTACATGTTCACCTGTTTTGCAAGTACTAACAACTAACAACAATCTCCTTTCCAAAGTCAGGAAATTGTAGTCATTCATTCCTTCCTTCCTTCATTGATGCAGAAAATCCTTATTAAAAGCCAGCTATACCTGAGACACCATTAAAGGCAATAGACATCTGCCTTTTAAAGGGTAGGCAAGAATGGAGCTTATATTCTAGGGGCAGGGATGGGCACAGGTTAAATCAGTACAAGGCAGCAGAGAGAAGTACTATGCAGAAAGTATAACATAACAAGCTGATGGGCAGGTTATTTTAGATTCATGAATAAGGAAGTTTTTTTTCAAGCTGCAGTTGAAAAATAAGAAGGAACTAGGCATGTAAAGACCTAGGGAAAGAGCATTCTGAATGAACACCTAATACAGAATCCCAGAGGTGCAAACAAGCCTGATGTAGGCTGTTCAAGCAGGCCACTGTAGCTGGAGCAAAGTGGATAAAGGGAGAGGTAGGACATGTGCTCGGCCAGGTGGTCAGAGCCAACTCACAAAGACTCAGGGTTGTATTCTGAGAGAGATGAGGCTTTGGAGGGTTATGATCATAGGAGTCCTGTGATCTGGTTACCTTTTGAAGAGATAATCATCCTGGCTGCTGTGACTGTGTATCTTAAGTAGGACAACAACGGTGGAAGCTCACAGGAGAGAGGTTGTTTAGGTGGATTATGTATGTATCACTGCATAACAAACTATCCCAACACCTGGCAACCAAAAATGACAATCTATGTTTATTATCTCATGTAATGTCTGCAAATCAGGAATTAAGGAGTGGCTTAGTTGGGTGGTACTGGCTCAGAGTACCTCAGGAGGTCATAGTCAAGATGTTGACCTGGGTTGTAGTCATCTAAAGGCTTGACTGGGACTTCAGTCCACTTACAAGATGGCTTGCTCACATAGTTATCGGAAGGAGTCTCGGTTTCGTGCTGCGTGGGTTTCTTCATAGGGCTGTTTGAGTGTCCTTATAACATGGTAGTTGACTTTCCCCAGAGTAAGTGATCCACGAGAGAGCAAGGTGGAAGCCACAAAGGTTTTTTTGTTTTGTTTTGTTTTGTTTTTTTATGACCTAGCCTTGGAAGTAACACACTGTCATTTCTGCTATTTCCTATTGGTTACATGGATCGGTCCTATTCATCGTGACTGTGAATATCAGGAGGCTAGGGCCATCTTGGGTGCCATCTTGGAGGCTGGCTGCCATAGGTGGCTTTCATAGTAGTTGTCCAGGTCTGACATAATGGTGGCCAGGCAAGAATTGACCAGCAAAACTCTACTTTAAAAGATGTATGAGTAGAGATTTTCTTCTGTCATTGGCTGTTTGGTGGCCTATTTGCAAATAAGTCCACAGAAGAAGGAAATACTCCAATTATAGCCTATTGTTAGACCATGAGGTATTTTGGCCCCATCGTAAAATAACAATTTACTCAGCTTAATTTGACAAATCTATGATTATGATAAAGTGACAATATGATACAAACTATGTGTTTCTGGGTAATTTAAATGACGTCCCGATCTCTTGAACAAGCAGTAGGAAAGATGAATACACTTCTATTACGTTCATATTTTATAGAACACCGATTTTGCTCCTAAATTGCCTACTGGTTTAGTTGTTTGAACAGGCTTAATTTATCTCTTGCCCAGCCGTGCTCCATAAACTGTCATTCTTAGAGTTACCTAATGGGAGTGTGCTTTAAGCACAAGTCAATCAGCAAGGTACTACTGGCCCTGGAACTTCTTCTGCCAGCTTAGTTGTGGAAGCACGAGGCAGACTGGTGTCTTTCAGCAATCAGGGCAGAATTATCTGTCAGCAGGGAGAATTACTTTAACAGAGTGTAGGCAGAATTCACTCTACTTAATTAGGGAAGTTGTCTACAGTTTTGAATTAGTTTCTCTGGCAGTTCTTTCTTAGCTTTCTTTTGTTTCGACAAATGAAAAAACCCTAACCCAAATCATTGGAGAAGCAGCCTTGAGAAAGAAAAAAATAAACCAAATGTTAGCAGCAGTTCCTATGGCTGGTTGACCAGGGAAGACTTACTACCCTTACATCTTGCAAAACGGGATGGCTTTGGTGGCACAGACTGAACTGAATGCTGTTACTCTTTTGACTGTCATATTTAAGAATAGTTGCCAGGTTTGGCCAAATTGTACTTTTTTCATCTCCAACTCAAACATAGAGAAAAAAAAATTTACTTTTTTTCCCCAAAAACATTTTGTCACAATTTTGAAAGAATGATTGTTACTGTTTATATTCAAACCTTTACAGTTCTTTCCTACCCATTGATCATGCAGTGGAAGAATGACTCGTATAGATCTTAAGAGAAACCCTTGAACAATAGTGAGCCCTTGGCAAAGAACCAGGTGCTATTGTTGCTGAGGTCACTTTGAGTAAAGTAATGTCCTTAGGCGTTGAGCCTTACACAGATTCCCCCGGATCATGCAGCTCCCCTACACCATAAAAATCAGGTGTTTATGTTGTGCTTCAGTGCCTGCGAGTGACGAAGAGGAAGGAGCGGTGCTTTTTGACAACTCTGGCAAGGCGGCTGCTGATCCCTTTGACACATCTTCTGGATCTGTGCAGCTCATCGCGATAAAACCCACAGCCCTCCCCGTGGTGCATCCCACATCGGACCGGAGCCAGGAGTCAGCAGTCCTCAACGGTGAGGTGAGCACTTGGCGACCCAGAGCGGGGGACAGCCAGTGCAGCCAGGCCTCTGGGAATTCAGACTAAGAGACACCACCTGGGAATGCTGGGTGCAGGTTGCGTCCAGGTGTACAGGACTCTGTCGGTCATGTTTACCTCCGTGTGCACCGGCCTCGACGGGATGAATCAGGACACGAGTCACCCAAAAAAAATGTTGGGTAATGTTTTTGAGGAGTTTTTGCCTTTCTTAAGAAGCCCAAGGGGACTTTTTAAAAACTGTAGTTATGGGGGCACCTGGGTGACTCAGTCAATAGAGCATGTGACACTTGATCTTGGGGTTGTGAGTTCAAGCCCCACATTGAGGGTGGAGTTTATTTAAAAATTGTGGGTTTTTAAAAACATTAGTTACGAAGAGAAACATCAGAAGTTCTTCCCCACTTTAAGCACACACACACACAACCATCTGCCTTCTTTGGTAACACTCCTAAACTGTTCATTACGGGGTGCCAGTTGTAGTAGAATAAAAGGGGCTTGAGTTGATAAAGAACCAGCAGAGATAATGTCATACAGACAGGAATGTGGTCTACTACATGGGCTTTGAAATGACTTTTACTCCTTTTAGCAAGCTGGAAACAACCCCCTGCCTACTCCCAGGAGGATATCAATGCATATCGTGATGTTAATCAATTTTCCTAAGAGTCTGGAAAAACTTTGTAACATACTCCAGAGAATGATGATTTGACCAAAAAAAAAAAAAAACAAAAAAAACAGAT